CTGGGACTTAGTTAGAAATGCAAACTCATGTCCCACCCCAGATAGACTGAATCAGAATCTTCTTTCAACAAGACCGCAGGTGTCACGTATGTGCATTCACCCTGAAGGGTTCCATTCAGAACCTAGACTGGTAATGGTCATAGACTTACATAGGCTCTGTCACCGATTATATAAATTTTAACATCACTTGTGTAGAAGCTACTGTGGGCCAGACAGTGTTCTGAACACTTACTTAAGCCTCACAGAGGGATACGAGTCCATCAAGGCCAGGAGGCATGGCAGGAGACAACCAGAGCAGAAGTTGAGATCTCACATCTTTAAGCAGACACAGGAAGCAGAGAAATGGGCTGGAAATGCCCACCCCAGTGACATGCTTCCTCAAGCACGGCCACACCTCCTAAAGATTCCATAACCCTCTGGAAACAGTATCACTGAATGGGGACCAAGTGTTCAAATACTTGGAGCCTATGGGAGAAATTCATTCAAACCATAACAATCCCAGTGCAGGCAGAGCAAAAAGATTTCCTTTTACACATTTATTTTATTTTATTATTTTCATTTTATGTGTTGCGTGTATTGCCTGCATGTATGTGAGTGCACCCGTGTCGTGCAATGCCACGGAGGTCAGAAGAGGGCTTCGGATTCCCCTGGGACTGGAGTTAAAGACAGTTCGTAGCCACCATGTGGGTGCTGGGAATCGAACCTGGGTCCTCTGCAAGGGCAGTCAGTGCTCTTAACTGCTGAGCCATCTCTCCAGCCCCCAAAAAGTTTCTTTTTAGCAGTGCATCAGTGTGAGGGCCACGGGAGGCACTTAACACAGTAGCACAGCCCATAGACTCTGGAGCCAAGCCTCCTGGCATTGAGCCCCATGCCAGCATTCACTAGCTGTACACCTATAGTCAGGCCATTTCACCTCTTTGCACTACTTTTTCAGCTGTGGTAAACAATATTACCTACTTTATAGGGTCGTGACCAGAGGAAATACAATAACCCAAGCAGAGGAACAACAGCTGCACCTCAGCTGGGGCGCTCTCAGGATAGGATGGTTAGTGAGGTTACAGGGGCTTTGATGCTTCAGTGAAATCCTTCACCCAGTGCTTGAATTCCCCCAAGCCTTTCCTCAAGGGCTCATTCAGTAAGCAAATGAGTTGCCTTGAAGATAGTGAACCCACTACCTTTTACGATACCCCACTCCACCTGCAGTGGTATGTTCTTGGACAGCTTCTGTTTGTTTCTGGACACTTCCTAGCTGGTCCTAGTTCCATCCCATGGTCCTACAGAAATGATCATCCCCACCTTCCTCAAAATAGCTGTTTAAATAATTGGAAACCATTGTTAACAACAACTCCTCCCCTCTTATGTGTGTCCTTCTCCCGTAGGTGAGTCTTATCTTCTGATGAAACACCTTCAGTGTTCTAGTGATTGCAGTGATTGAGGCTGTGCTTGCTGACTCCTTCTTTGCTGTGTCTTTACCTTCTGAGGACACCCTGTGCTACAGTGTGCTTTAGGTCTATGAGTTCTGCCACATGCCTGAATACAAAGATGAGAAAACACCCTGAGACTCAAGGAGCTCCAGGTGGGGCAGGCAGGGAACAGCATTCTAGGCAGTGAAGCAGCACATGCTGAAATAGGGAGGCACGAAGCCAGGAACTTCCAGATGGCTGGGCACAGTGTTGGAGCGTCAGGGGAAGCTGGGAACTGAAGAAGCCAAAGCAGGGAAGGAGGAGGTGAGCTTGACCTGCAAATAGCAGGGAATTGTGGGTGCATTTTCTGTGTGTCTGTTAGTAGGAACAATCTACCTGAGGCATGAGGATAGACAAACCCCCAAAATAGGTATCTGGTTAACTGAATATCCAAGAGGGCAGTGAGGAGGATATAAATCACGGTCCGAAATGCCCCAAATAGACACAAAAAGCTAACTGATATCATGTCTGTGGGGTTGAGACAGTGAGTCATGGTGTCTTTCCCCTTGTGTTTTCTAGCTTCTCTTTCATAGGTATTTTCTCTTTTCTCTATAATCAGCATGTATTATTTATATAGCAAGAATAATTGATGCATATCTATTAATAGTTCAAAGTCAAGCCAGCAGGAATTGGAAGCTGATTGTAGGGAGAGTCTCGGAAATAGACGCAAGTGCGTGGTATGTCCACCGACAGAAGTAGGGATGTGAGGAACATGGGAATTGCTGACAGCGGAAGTGAATGTCTGTGGGCTGTGGTGGCTCCCATTTCATAGCCTGCTGTGAAGTAGGTATCTTCATAGCCTGCTTGATGCTTATGGTTCCTGAACTCGCCTGTCCATCCTACACTCACTGCATGGCAGACTCCACTACCATAGAGCCCAGCACCATGCCGCAGCATTTGCTCACACTTTCCCCACCTTTGGTAAATATTTACAGAGTGCCCAGTAGACTCTTCACAGCCAGACCTTAGTGATGAAAAGAGCAGGCATAGTCTGTCTTCATAAAATACCATGTAATTGAAAAGACAGATATAAATATTTAAAAATCCCTTTAATGCACCTACCATTTAAAGCATACAATTCAAACAGAATGTTCCAGAGGAAAGCAAATGATTCTGAGAAGGCATGTAACAGAGGAAACACCTCTGGTCAGGAGTTTGGGGAAAGATTTGGGGGGAAGAGAGGTGCTTGGGCTGAGAGCTGAAAGAATCATGTAGGATATTCCAAGTGGAAGGGACAGTGCCTGTGGCTCTCCCAGGAGGGAGGGAGTACAGTTGCACCATCCTTAACAACAGTGTATTCTGAGGAATGTGCTGATGGGTGATTCCATCATCAAGTGCATGTCCTACAGTGTGCCAACACAAACCTCCATGCCACAGGTCAGTCACTGGACTGGACCTCTTGATACAGAAGTGTAATTCATTCAAGACATTTGAGGTTGTGGCTGGCACCATATAGCACACTGTTTAGAATCAACTTTTTAAGATAATTAGAATCTTTACATTTATTTATTTACTTACTTATTTTGTGTGTGTGTACATGTGCATGCTGTGGTATATATGTGGAGGTCCGAGGACAACTTGTAAGTGTGGATTCTCTCCTTCCATCATGTGGCTCCTGGGAATAGAACTCTGATAATACAGTACAGCCATATATTATAATCTTAAAATATTACACACTGTACATAATCGTGTGTGCTTTTAATATCACTGGCAGCACCACAGACTTGTGATGATCGAATGTCTTGTGCAGTGATGTTATGACAGGCATAATGTCTCTAAGCAATAGGAACTTTCAGCTCCATTATAATCCTGTAGAACCACCACCATGTATATGACCCATCATTGACTGAACCTCTATTCTATGGCCTGTGACTGAGGCATATTTGAGTTTAAAAGAATGTTGTTTGGGGTCCAGAGAGAGGGACAGAGGCTGGGACTGTGTGGAGAGGTGGATGGGATGGGCCCTGTAGTGCCTTGAGGGGCACTGGAAATCGTGATCTTTATTCTAAGCTTTCAGAGTGACCTTTTGTGTAGCCCATCTGGCTGCAGCCTAGAACGAAGCTCCTCCTGGGTCTGCTGTCCCTCTGTTTCTTGGCACTTGAAACTGGTCTTGAGGGTCTGAGGAGATGCCTCCCTGGTGGTCTGGCAACCAGATACAAGGTTCCCCACTCCTCTGAGGAGCACTTAGAAGGCTCTACCCATCAGCCACTTCTGAAAGTTGCTTTGCAACTCAACTTTCTTCATGGCTTTGCAGACTTTAACACTAATGTGTGCATAACTTGCTAATTAACAGAATCATTTGGATCTGAAAACATCTTGTTCTAATGGGAGCCTGCGAAGTGCTCACATTAATTCACAGGTAAAATTATTCTGGCTCCCCCCCGCCTTTTCCCAGCTTGGCTTAATGGCTGGGGAGAATTCTCACAAGAAAGTCTCCCAGGGTTTAGAGTAACCTAGGGTGACCTATTAGTATCACCTCAACATCTTCTTTCTGGTAGCATTCCCAGTGGGCTGTCCTTGGTGGAGCCCTGCAAGGGTCCTTCCTTCTCCTTCTCCCCACTCTACGACAGAACAAACCTGCCAACTCTGAGGTACCCTGATAAGACACATGTTCTCTACAGAGCTTTCCAGTTGCTCCTTTGCCCCCCCCCCCCCCCCCCGGTGAGATCTGGGTACTTAAAAAAGTTTTCTAGCGGTGGTAATAAGTACAGAACAAAGTTTTCCATTTAAAATACTTTTAAGAGTGTGGTTCAGTGGCACCCTGTATACTTGCATTATCACAATCTAATGTGCAGAACTTTCTTCATTCCCCAAACTGAAACTCCATGCTATCTAACAAGAAGTCCCTTTCTCTAGAGCTTTTGCGTATCATGGTCACATTACATGTCCCTTGGTAGAATTGTATACCACACAGTGGTCCCCCTACTTAATCTTGAAAAGGTGCTTTCAGAGCTGCTATACCCTTGGCCCTGCTCCAGGGTGCCCAGATGCATCCTAGTGGTGAGGTATTTTCCTCAGTGGAAGCTGTACCCTCCTGGATGCCTTTCTATTAGGCTGATCTATGCTGCAGAGCAGGTGGGCTGATTAGCTCTAGTAATGCTTCACAAAGAAGCCTGAGAGATGACTAAGTCCTGCATGGCTGTGGGTAGTCACAGTGAGTTCTCATTGTACTGAGTCCTGCTCTAGGAGAAAACACACCAGGGTGTCTCTGAGATGGGCTATTTAAAAACTTGGTAGTTATGGATGAAAACAACATGTTCTTCCTCTTAGAAGTACAGCATCTGCCGATCCTTTTATTTGGATGTGCCTCCAGGACAGATTTGGAGTCCTGCCAACCTGGATTTAGATTCTTGCTCTGTCATTCATTGACTGTGACCTTGAGCCTCAGTGTCTTCATCTAAAATATGGGACTCATGGCTCCCATTTGAGTTACTGAAAAGATTGCAGGAGGTTGTGTCAATGTGGTACCCAGGGCAGTCTTGGCTCAAAATAGGAAGTGGAGGTTCTGTTGCTATTGTTGATAATGTCGTTGTGCAGGTCTCCAGGTGGTCCTGAACTCCATCATCAAGGCCATGGTGCCTCTGCTGCACATTGCCTTGCTTGTGCTGTTCGTCATCATCATCTACGCCATCATCGGCCTGGAGCTCTTCATGGGAAAGATGCATAAGACCTGCTACAACCAGGAGGGCATAGTAGGTAAGAGGAAGGCTGTGGGCAGTGGTGTCCGGGAGGCTGCCCCTTCCTGCATACCTGCAGCCTCCTGCGCTGCAGAACTGGAGGAGGCATTCAGTTGTCCACGTTTCCAGACCATGACAACGTGAAAGGCAGGGGTTGGCATGCTTTTCCTCTCATTTCTAATTTCTGTTTTCACTACAATAATAGATCTCTGTTCAAACAGCAAACGTTAGCTTTATCCAGCACTATTACGGACCATTTAAAGACGGATACAATTAGAGAAACAAAGATTCAAAAGTTTCATCAGTCTCTTACTCTTGAAGCAATTCGTAATGTATGCAGTGCCACTGTTAACCAGTGACCGTGTGCATCCCTCAGTTCACCAACGCGCTTCAGGATCAAGGACCTTCGGGAAGACTGCAGCACCAGCTCCCATCACTACCCGGTTTCTCTACCTTCTACTCCCCTGAAGTTGCCATTTTCTTTCCCATTCAAAGATAGAAGCTCCCAGGCTCCTCCCTATCCCCGAGCAGATGAAGAGGCCACCACAGAATACCCCCTTGCCATCATCAAATCCTCACTTCTCAAGAACATTTACCTCCTTGTCACAACCACCAGCCCTGCTTTCTGAGCCTCTCCTCTTTGTCTTCTTCCATAACTCAATGAATTTAAGAAAAAACATTGGCTCATTAAGCACTTTCCTGAGTGGCACCAGAGTTTTGACTTGCAGGATACGCTACAGACTGCTGTCCTAAGTGACCAACATTTCAATTTGACTTTTAAAACATCTAAACAGAAACTGATAAGGCTGTTGACAGACATATAAAGTAGGCTAACACACATATACCCATTTGCATGTGCAGACACACACACACACACAAAGTTGAAAAAACTATCCCATATCAAAGCCGTTAGCAGTGTTAAATCTATATGATTTCATTTTTCAAAACAGAGCTGCCATCTTCATTTGGGCATCACTGTAGAGAAAGGGGAATGTCTGTCTGGGGCACCAATGAAGGCTTCTTTCCTTTGTATCTCCTGTCTCCTTACTCTTATTCAGTCTGGGCTTGGAGGGTTAAGGTGCTCCAATCTATATGACAGAGTGAGTTGAATAACTCACACTCAAAAGCAACATTGTTACCTGTTGTGCAAGATGTACTGTGACAATATGTACTGATAATGGTCATCTGCAAGATTGCTAGATCACTGACACAGGTCACAGTCATAAAAACAAACAAAAACTGGGGCTGGAGAGGTGACTCAATGGTTAAGAACACTGACTGTTCTTGCAGAAGACCCGGGTTCGAATCCCAGCACCCACAAGGCAGCTAACCCAACTGTCCTAACACCAGTTCCAGGGGATCTGACAACCTCTTCTGTCCTCCGTGGGCATTACACGACATGGGTGCACTTACCTACATGCAGGCAATACATGAATATGCATAAAATTAATAAATAAAATATATTAATAAAACAAAACCTACAAGTCCTTGATTACACAATTATTTCATTGTTTTTAAATTTTAAAAACGTGAAGATTTGGTGGGGAGAGGCAGCTCAGTGGTTAAGAGCACTGGCTGCTCTTGCAGAAGACCAGTTTTCCATTCCCATCACCCACATGATGGCTATTAAAAGTCCATAACTCTGGTTCCAGGGGAATCTGACACCCCCTTCTAGCCTCTATGGGCACTGCATGAGTATCTGAAGTTACATACATGTAGGCAAAGCACTTATACACAAAAAAATAAATAAGTAAAAAATTTACAAACTGGAGATTCTATTTAAGAAGAAATTATTCACTCTCAAGAGAGCTTCCAATTTTTTGTTAAAATTGTATAAAATCAGTGATAATTTAAAATATGATAACATATATAATTTTTAATTAGAAGAATCAGCTCTTGCCTTCAACTAAAATTCTGAGATGTTCAATCTTGCTTAAAGACACACCAGGCAGGCAGTATAATGATTTATACATCCCTTTAATTCAAATCCTTCCTTTTTTCAATTTGATCTGTAGCTAGCTCTGAACCAATAGTTTATATTAATGGTGTGGCTTAGTTGGAGCTCCTTAAGAACTGACCAGTAGCCTTAGTAAATTTATGCCGTTTACAGAAGTGGTCAGTGATCCACTACACCCAGCTCATCAGGCTGTCATAGAGGTATAGAATCTCAATGATTCACCATCAGCTTGGCATGGCTCACCACTGAAATGGGAAGAAATTCTATCATAGAGCCAAAGACAGCAACTGTGCCATGGCATCAAATGTTGGTGCACCATGATGCCATGGAGAACGGATAGAAAACCTGCAACCATTTCTATCTACCTCTTCTTACTGTTGGTGAGGATTCTTACAAGTCTGTGCAAAAAAGGAGCCCTGAATAATTGGTATAGTTACAGGGCTTGTTACCCAGCCTCGGTGTCCTCAAATGGCAAGAAAATGCTGAGTGTCATAGACAAAGGAAACTGGATGGGCATAGGACACAGCCAGAAGACCAGTGAAGAGCCACCTTAAAACTGAAAGTTTTAAGGTCTTCTTTGCCTGCCTTTAGGATGAAGATCCTTCCTGGATTCAACCATTAGAGTGGTCCACTTAGGGCCATGTTGATCTTCATAGTAAACAGGACCAGGAAAATCACCCGTACTATCATCTGCCTCCTACCACAACCCTCATGACATCATGTGTGCAGTGCTTGTGTGATGGGTTTTGTCTTTCTCCAGCAACTTCAGTGGAGAGTGGTGGAAACCATAGTGTCAGGGGACAATGAGGATAGTGTCTCACAGAAAGGTGCCATGCCGGTCTTCAGTGGGAGCCAGAGTCACTGCTGGGAAAGTCCAGGACTCCTGGCTGCAGCAACCTTCCCTCTGGAACACTGCAGTTGACTCCTCCCTCTTCTTTCCTCCTCCTGCTTTCTACCCACAAGCCAGAAACTCCCACCTTCTCCCAACAGAACACACATTTGGCACCCCCAAGAAGAATAGCCCCAAGGAGGAAAAGAACCCACAGGGATCAGATCACACCTGTATCCTAGAGTAGACCAAACACCTGCTCCTTTCAGAGCCAGCATCAATGTGTTTCAGAGTTTTGTAGAACCTTTGAAATGTTTGGTTTGCTTGTTTGGTTGGTTTTGTTTGTTGTTGTTGACTGTAGATTTTAGGCTTTAGATTTAATTACCATATTTTCTGTCATATTTAGATTATACAAGTGCTTGGTGAGTTATTACATTTTTTTTTGGTCTTTTTGAGACAGGGTCTCCCTGTAGCCCCAGCTGTCCTGGAACTCACTATGTAGACCAGGCTGGCCTTGAACTCACAGAGATCCACCTACCTTTGCCTCCCGAGTGCTGGGATTAAAGGCGTGCGCCACCACGCCCTGGAGTTATTATAATTTTAATGGGACATATATACACATATGATTCTTTTTACACTTTGATATTATTTCACAGACTTAATTTTATATGCTTCTAAATTTTAGAAAACATTTTTCTTGTTAGAGCCTTACAAGGAAGCTCTGAGGCCTGCCAGAGAGTCATTGCTCTGCCTTTAGACTCTCCCTCAGTGTCCAGTGTCCAGTGCATAGGATCTCAGAAGAGACCATTTTCTTCTGATCTCATGCAACTGCAAGGCTCCTTATCTGGCTGCTCAGCAGACACACTGCCATATGCCGATACCTTTTGTTTCTGGTTATCCCATCTGTCTGATGGCTCTGGAGCCAGGGCAGAGCTGGTAGCTTTCCCCAGCACGGTAATTACCCCTGGGACTGGCACAGAATTAGTTGGCTAAACCTAGCAATGAAATCACCATTATTCTATTCTGTCTTTAAGTTGGGACCTAAAAATGTAATTGATGTTGTCTTGGTGATTTTTCCTTGGAACCCTGCCTGAAGCTCCCCTAGGATTTCAGTTCTCGTTAATACTGAGTCCATTTCTGAAATCCTTTATTTTGCCAAAGACTGAATTTAAAGTTTGCACATTGACCACTCTCTTCAATTCTGTTTTGACATGTATAGCCCACGTGGCTTTGTTTCTCCCTCCTCACATTCCTGTTTTCCTCCCGAGGACCTCATGACTCTGCAAAACAAAGCCAACACATCCTTTCCTGTTAAGCTTACTTCCCTCTGCCTGGATTGAATGTTGCTAGGACCTGCTGATCTGTGTGTTCACATTTTTCAAGTGTTCCCTTTAGTGCTTTTTATAGATACCTATTTTTACTGGATCATTGCTGCTTCTTAATTGTTCTGTGATCTTTTTATTGTTCAGGGCAGATTTAAAATAGCACAGCAGCCCTTGAACCTGTGGCTAATCTTCGTCAAGCTCATCCTCTGTCCTTTATTCACGAGCTTACTGTCCCTTCATGCCATTTTATTTTAGCATATATTTGTAAAACCCCCAAATATGTTTTCCTTCCTGTGGACACTCAGAGCTGGCTTTGGCAGTCTCCTGCTTTCCATATTTCTACTGTGTTAGGAACTGAGGCTACAGGGCAGGCTACAGACCAGCAGTCATACCATGAAGACAATCAGCATCTTTAGGCCATGAATAAAAACACAAAATAAAAGAAGATTTTCAGTTTATTTTTTTGCTTTTTGTTCTCTCTCACTCTAGAAATCTATTTCTAGAATAAGTGAGAACCAAACAGAATTTATAATTATTTGTTTCTCCATTTTCCAGTCTCTCAACTCTCAAATTTTAGGTGCTCTGCTATTTTAATGTATTATTTAGGTTTGAGAATAACATTTTCATTTCTCTCCTTTCAACAACCTTAAATTCACTATTTCAAAAGTCATAAAAAGTTGTAACTAGAGGCCCCTCCATTCAGCTGCCTTAAAGTGGAGCCCCTTGAACCCACACTTTGGAGATAGACACTTCCTACCCTCAACTAAGTCAGAGATCAGTATGGAGACCTGTCACCTTGGTCACTGAATAGCCCTAGGCAGAGAACGAGCCAGGAAGCTGCTTCATTCTGAAGAGCCCAAACCTGGGAGTGAGCCAGATGTCCATCACCTGGAAAATGGATAAACATGCCATGAAATACACTGCTCAGCAATACAAAGGAACAGACAAGACTTCAGTACGCAAGAGCGTGGTTGAACTCAGAAACACTGCACTAAGCTAAGGCAGAGGGACGTAGAGAGCCTCTGTGGTATGATTTTGTGTATATGAAACTTCAAGGAAAGGCGAGCTATGAAGACAGAGAACAGATCAGATTGTTACGGGTTAGGAACAGGAGCAAGGGTGGACTACAAACAGGCTCGTGGGAATAGTGGTGGGATGTAGATGAGGAGGTGACTGCTGTCACCAGGAAGATTCGGGCACACGTTTTCAGCCATAGCTCTCAGCTCCATGCTCTTGAGGCTCTCCCACAGTTAAGGGTTAACATTTCTCTTCTTGAGAGTGAACAGTTTCAATTAGAAATCACAAACACCAACAGCCATCCACTCTTGAGGCTCTCCCACAGTTAAGGGTTAACATTTCTTGAGAGTGAACAGTTTCAATTAGAAATCACAAACACCAACAGCCATCCAACCAGAGTTTTCCATACAAAGCCTGAGTCCCATGGGCACAATAATCACACTGTGATGGTTTGGATCCTTATAGAAGAAGAAAAGACTCTGGGCATCTTATTATCTCTAAACGAAGAAGCAGAAGCAAATTCTGTCTCTGGAGCTGTGTTTTTGCTATTGGAAGAGGCAATTGCTTGTTTGTCCAAACAGAGGCCTCTTCTCTTTGCCTTTGCCTTTACTTCTCTAATAGCTCCAAGATAAGATTCTCCGTTTCATAGACTGTGAATTCCTTACTTTGCCTTCTACTTTCCAGAACAATTTACACTTGAGATGGTTGCATCATGATTACTTTCTGATTGGCCACTTGGCCCTGATGCTGTGTTATGACAGAGTGGGGCCTTAGTGTCTGTAAAATTGATTGTTGAGGCTAAAATGCAGTGTTTATAACTTTGTTGAAAGTATTGACTTTTTAAATCATTGTGCCCCTCCAATGGATTCCTAGGCCCATGTTTTTGGTTTTCAGTGTTTTGTTTTTTTTTTTTTTTAATCCCCATGAGAGAGACCTAACTGAAATTTGTGTGTGGTTGTTGCTGAAGTTACCAATCAGCTTATCCTGCTGTTTTTCTCTCTTTTTTTCTTCATTCTCTGCCCATCCCTGCCCCCTCCCCACTGCCCTTCTGTCGTGTTTTTCCTCGGTGGTGGAGATGTTCCAGCAGAAGAGGACCCTTCTCCTTGTGCTTTGGAGACAGGCCATGGGCGGCAGTGTCAGAATGGGACCGTGTGCAAGCCCGGGTGGGATGGGCCCAAGCACGGCATCACCAACTTCGACAACTTCGCCTTTGCCATGCTGACAGTGTTCCAGTGCATCACCATGGAGGGCTGGACAGATGTGCTATACTGGGTACGCAGATGGGGCACTCAGAGGGTGGGAGCATGGAGGCCAAGAGGCCTCCCTTGACATCTCCTCTTCCTCTCCATGATGGTTGATCACACGTCAAGCTGAGGGAATGGTTGATGGATGTTTTTGATTTATTCCAGGTCTTTCCTGAGAAGCAAAGAATGATGTATCCACTCCCATGAGTCTGCCCCTCCACACACACACACTACTAACCTTAGCAAGGGTTATGTTTTCTTGGGAACCATGGAGTTAACCACTGGCACCAGCTGATGCTGTGTGGTTGAGCTGAGCCACAGCTGGTGCAAGAGCTCAGTCCAGCTCCTCTTCTGTAATCCCTTCTACTGTTAACCCTTTCCTGTCTCTTACCCAAAAGAGAGCTGAAGGCCAAATTCTCAGAGAAAAATCAGCTGGTCTTCTAAAAAGAAATGCCATAAAGAAACCATTTTTTCTTACATTGAATTGCATAGTCTTGTGGCACACTATTATGTTTTACGTGTCATATTAGTCTTTATTAGAATACTCCATCAGACAGACTATAGTGCCATTTTTCACTGTCAGAAAGACTCTGCTTATTTTTTAATATTTTATTTATTATTTTTATTGTATGTGTCTGAGTGTACTGCCTGCATGTATGTGAGTGCACCTGTGTCGTGTAATGCCGCAGAGGTCAGAAGAGGGCTTTGGATTCCCCTGGAACTGGAGTTAAGGATGGTTCGTAGCTGCCATGTGGGTGCTGGGAATCGAACCCGGGTCCTCTGCCAGAGCAGTCAGTGCTCTTAACCACTGAGCCATCTCTCCAGCCCAAGACTGTGTTTATTATATGATGCATAGTTAAAAATACTTCTTGAGTGTGGACCCACCCAGAGTATTTCCTTTAACTTCAAAAATGCCACTCATAAGATCTTGTATCATCACAACTTTACCTACTTTGAACCCTGGGAATGCCAGCAAATACACATAACGATATTCAAGCTGTCTTCATTCTAGCAGAATTGAGTCCATCGTTTGCAAAACCCGCAGGGAATATCTTCTTTGTAGTGTCTCCTACTTCACCATGAGAAATGACTTGCCAGAATCTAGTGTTGCTCTTCAGAATTTGGGTGAATAAAGCATGTTGCCATTCTTGAAAATATCATCTTTCCCAAGTTTCTCAAATAGTCAAAACCATTTAGCTATAGTGCAAACAATCTAAGAGCCTGCTTACTAGTGTCTACAAACCAGAGCAGGAAGAGTGAAAGGGAAGTAAAAGAACTTCCTCATGTGCACAGCTGCCAGGAAGAGAAGAAACGAAGCCAAGAGAAATGCTGACTTCTCCCAGAATCAGAAGGAGCCATGCGACTGTGCAGAGATGTACAGTATTACAGCTCCTCTGTGTTTTCATAAGCACCATGTTTTGTAAACGTAAAAACTTCTCAGTCCAGCCTTGATACTACTGTCAGCATGCCAGAGCCCAGCATAAGTGTGTACTGCTCTATAAATGATTACTTGGTGCTAACCTGTACTTCGTTCCCAGCAAATGTTCACCGAGTGTCCTTGTGAGCCAGGTGCTCTAGGCACTGAAGATTTGGCATGAGTAAGATCTGTTCAGCCACAGAAGCTCAGTCTATAGAATAGATTGGATTCTGAGCTGAATAACAGCAACCCCCAGACCCATGGGCCATAGACCATGTAACTGTATGGGACTGGGCTCCAGAGCCTCATTATGTGAGTCTCCAGCCCATGCCTGCAGTTGCTATGGAAAAGCTGGCTGTTGCATCAAATTGAGGGCAGGTGCAGGGATGGGGGAATAGGTATAATTTGCTTTGTTGATGGCCCTGGTGTACTTTTGTGATCTTTAATCACGCCCTCCCTCTCCCTCACTGTAAGTCATTGATACTATATCAGCCATATGTGACCAAAAAGATGCTGTCATAGTGACAGCCAGAGTAGGGAACCAGAAGAAGCACACAACAGCAACCACCAATTTTCAGCAGCTGTGTTGTGCCTTCTCCCCAGAGGGTGTGTGCTAGAACTCAAGCTGGGAACAGAAAAACTGTCAGAGGTGAAGCATCCCCAGAGCCTGAGGATGTGCCTCACTTTGACTTTCCAGCATCTTTCCAAAATGGTCACACTGTGTGTGCACACGTGTGCATGTGAGTTGCACATGCATGTGTGTGCATATATACACACATACACAGACCTTAAATTGAGAGTGTGCTTCTTGGGGTTATTTGTGATAGAGGTGCCGCCCAGCTCAGCGCTCCTGCAGTCAGGCAATTCTTCTAATTACTGTGACCTTTCTGTGGCCATTTTATCTTCTGTTTCTCTTTCACGCTTTCTTTCTTTTCCTGAACTCCTTAACTTCCTCCTCCTTAACTCTAGACCTTTATCACTAGTCCAGAGACTCTCAATGTTTTAGCATCAAACATGGTGCTTTCAAAGTATAAAAATACTCATAGTTGCCTCCAAGCCTCCAGAGTTAGGACCTCAGTGTCTGCAGAGGAAGCTCTCCAAGCCATTGTGATGGCAAGTTTGAGTTTGAAAGCCCTAGAAAGAGAACCTTTTGAGCCTCCACAGTGCTCCTATGACACTAGATCTGAACCAGTCTGGGGGCCTAGTTACCAGGGGATACAGGGGTACGGGGTCTTCCACTCAAAAGGGTGCGTTCCCTTCAAGTGTAAAATGCAAATCTAAAGGACTTGGAAGGAACAGTGAAGATTCCCATGTGTAGCAATGAAGAGGAACTCCAGAGGTGGGTTCATTTTAAACTTCTAAAACTTGTATAGAATTCCCAGGGAAAAGAAACTAAACCAAAACTCAGGCTTCTCTGTAGTTTTTTTGGGGGGAAATGACCCTTTAAGCCAAAGCCTATCCATGTACTCCCAGAATTCCTGTCTTAAAAACTGTTGACTAGGTAGAGAGAATGTGATCAGATGAAAGCAGTTCCTTAGGGCACCAGGCACCAGGAGGAGGAAGAACCCACAGCTGGGCAGCATCACCATCGGCTTCTTTCAGGGTTTTTTTTTTTTTTCTTTTAAACAAACAGCTGCCTAACACTGAGAATCTGCTTCCTAACAGTATACAGTGGGTTATAAACAGACTAACAAAGAAAATTAGCATCTCTCAAAGCCTTCATCTACTCACTCACTCATCCATCTATCATCAGCCCATCTGTCCATCCATCTAGTTTTACTCCACTGATTTTATCAGTATTAAATTCTTACAATTCAATAATTCAAGTTAACATATATTTGTTGAGCATTTCTTATGTTCCAAGGAACAGAGATGGCATGAGGTGAGGTACAGAGATCAGTAAGACCTACCTTCCAGGAGTTCAAGATATGAGACAAGGTTCAGGACTCACAAAAGAGCGTGACTGTCTGATAGAGTATGGGAGTGGTACAGGAAAGACCACCCTGGGGTGGGGAGGCATGGGGCTTTGGGTCTTGAAACTGGACAAGGAATCAGAAAGCAGACATTCATACCTGAGTAAAGCATCCCTTAGCAAGTTTAGATGCTGGAGTGAACCATGTTTTAGTTTCTTAGCAAACCCAAGAAACATCTGAGCCATCCCAAAGCATTCTTGGGTACTGTTTGATGGCTATAGGGTCCAATTTTGGACATCAACCCGGACCCCACACCCAAGTACAGCCCCCCCCCAAACTGTGAGTCAGCTGCCCACTGCATGGTGCTCAGACTAGAGCATCACTCTGTTATTCTCCCCATGAGATCAGGGCACCAGCTCATCTGGTTTTAGATATTTCAGTGCATGCAGTTTGGTTTACTGACTTGCCTGGTATTAGGAGCCTGTTGCTGTCTCCAACCTGAATGAGGCTTTTACTGTGTTCTACTGCCTGGAGAGTTTTCAGCAAAGAATGAGTAGGTGTAAGGGGTCGGGGCAGAGAATCGGCTTGCTCCTCACTGTGACACATGTGGTCAACACTAGGATTCTAGACAGCAAGATGACATAGGTCATGAAGAGCAACTATACACCAAGCCATTGCTTTACATCTCCAGCATTAGAGACTCTGAGTAGGAAGCACTGTGGCCTTTATGATTTGTACCTGCTCTTTGATAGCAAGTGGCCTGTCCTGGTACTTACGGAAACTACCTAGTTTTTGAATCCACAGTGCTTGTAACAAGAAGAAGGTCCATACGATATGAAAGCCCATGGAAATCAGCTTGGCTCAGAGAGGCCTTGAGAAGATCAGCATGCAGGTATCACTCTTCCTGTTTTCTCCCGAGGATTTGAAAGTATATGATTGGGTCCCTTTCAAGGAGTTAGATGCTGTTTTCAGAAGGGTCTTTGGTATTTCCCTTTCAGTATTACCTTTGTTCAGTCTGTAAGTTACAGGAATAAGAAGGTTATGTGTTTGTTTTAGGAAAGATTGGAGTCACCTTAGTTCTCAGGCCTGCGTACCCTGAAGGCTACAGGCTGCAGGCTTTAGGAACCAAGATGGTACTTGTCTTCCTTAGGAAAGCCACACAACTCCCTTTGTTACAGACCTAACAAAGGTCTGTAGCCCAGTGGCTTGAGAAGATCTGTCCTGTTTGAATCTCGAGACAAGGGTGATAGCAAGCTTGGTCCCTTTTAAAATATGGCTTTATTTTTCTTCTGAGTAGATCCATTTCCCTTTATTGAAGACATTAATCTCATCACTTCAGTCCCACCCTACTTCAGAGCCAGCCACCACTGAATACTCTCTACCCAGTCTGCCCCCAGAGTAGGTGGCCCAGATTAAGAGGAAAAAAACAAAGGGATGCTTTCCTTTCAGACTGGAGAATCACCTTCAAGGGCTATGACTGATTGCCACCTACCCAGGGAATGCTGGAGAAGCTCTTTGATTGTTCATCTGTCCTCAACCCCTCACCTGCCTTGAACCTCAGAAATAACTAGCCCATAGCCAAGGAAGGGATCAATGTTGAACTGTGGGATGGAAGGTAGAAATCTTGAGTTTCCCCTTTATGACCCTGGCTGCTTATGAAGCCATGGTCTTCAAATCTGTAGCTCCATCCACTGAGGTCCTTAATGAAACTAAGCCACCTACCTTGTGTGACCCAGAGGAAAGGACATCCAAAATGATCAAGACCCTAAGGAACTCGCTAAGGAAAATTGGTTTATGTGGTCTGGAGGGCTGTTTTTGATGAAGAAATCAAGTTTGGGGGGTGAGTGAGGACCCAGGAATCCATTCTAAGGAAGCTGGAGGAGGCCATCCAGCCCTTCCTCCCACTCACCATCTGCCCAGGCTCTGGAAGCAGCTCTGCTCGATGAGACTGAGCTACAAAGAGCATGTCATCATCTGCTGGAGCCTCTGCTCCCACCTATCCCATGGGAAGGGGTCCTCAGTCCAGGGATTAAAGGCACACTGCTCAGAACACACCAGGTCTGTCAGGACAGCCCTCAGACACCTTGCTGTCCTTTGGGGTTGATACAGATCAAGCCAGAAAGTCATTAGAGCTGGTTGGTAACACAGTCTGGGTATAGGCTCGAGAGGGGGTCACCGCATTGCAGGATTGTGTGCATCGTGCTGTATCTGCATGTTTTCTGAAGAGAATCTGTAGTTCTCACCAGGTTTTCCTGCTCTCCCCACTCTCCCCAAATAGGCTAGAAGCACCAACTTAAAGAAAAAGGAAGAGACGCCTTCTAACCTATATTAACAGGAAGACACTTATCACCTAGGGTCAAGCTTTCCTTGCCACATGCCTGGGACCCTAGCTAAGGTTGTTTTTATCCTTTTCTTTTACAGTAGCCAAAGGTCCAATGCAGCACTCACGCCACACATCCTAGGCACTTAGCAAATGCTTGGTGAATAAATATGTACACTATCTGACCTCTTTAAGAGCAGGCAAAGGACCATTGCATTGGCCCCACATTACACTGAGATGTGCAGGCCCTGGTATGGCAAGGCCACCATGACCAGGCACATGGCTCCCTCACTTTTCTCTCCCTGGTCCTGTTTCACCAGTCCTGCCTCTGCTTATGTTGATTGGTTTTGTTTTCCTCTCCTAGTGTGAGACTAACTCCACTAGTCTGGTTTCCATTGCACTGTTGGTTCAGTCAGTTCCTCCTGATCAAAGACCGACCCTGACTCCCTGCAGTGGGGACAGAGTCCACACAAAGACCTGCTGCCCCACGTCTGCTAGCACCTGCTGCTTTGCTGGCTGATTTACTTATTCCTCTGCTTCCATTCCACAGCCAGGGGAGCTTTGCAGCTGTGTGCTTGGTTTCTATCAATGCCAAGTCCCTAGGAAACCCCACTTGCCATCACAGGGTCACTTGGAGTCTGGGCTTCCTTCCTGCTCCATGGCTCCCTCTGCTGTCGGTGACTCTACTGTGCAAAGTCCACACAGCCCTGCTTGACCTGGCCCTTGCTTTTGTAACCTCATACAGCAGCAGTCTTCCGTATTTCCTGTTCCCTACTTCCTCTTTCCTCCTACAGTGCATCTACTAGTCCGTATTTGTCATTGCTTTCTTATGTGTATGTCCCCTGCTGGTAAAGGCTTCCTATTTACAGCACAGAGCCTACCATATCTTAAGTTCATTCATTCACTTGACAAACACTGACTTAATACCTTTCAAACTCAAGGCACTCTTCCTGGCACATTGAATTCACTAGTGAACAAAATAGACCACATCCACCTGTGTCCATATTATAGCTTAGAAGACAATTTGTTACTCAATGTGACAAATAAGAAACATACACTGTGGTAAAGTTACAGCTACTATGGAAAAATAGAACAAGGTGTGTGGGAACAGGAATGCTCAACAAACTGTTAAATTGAATTTCACTGTGACATGGCTGGTAGGCATATGCTGGGAACTCTTCCTTACTGACTCAGTTCAAACCAGTGAGCCACAGGCACAACTTTCGCACAAGCACTGTGACTACATTGGTGGATTCTTTCCCACCCATAAAATAGCAAGCCAATCAGAGCAGTCAGGTCTCCAACTACTTCTCAGTCCTTAGTTATGTCACATGCAGAATGTCATATTTTCCACCACATTTCAGATAGCGAATGAAGTCGCTAAGAGTCTGAGCATAGGGCCCTGATGCCCCAACACATCTGTAACTCAGTAGAGGCACGCAGGTAGAAATCAAATTGAGGCAGCAGTTATCAGATTTTAACATATCTCAGAATCACTTGGGTTGGCCATGATTATAATCGTAATGCAGGCATCTGAGCTACACTGAGATCCTAGCCTTGGAGACAGGACCCAGAAATCTGCTTTGGTTGATTCTCCCAAATTGGCCTGGTGATCTTAGGGCCATACTTGGAGCAACTTTTCTGTCCCATGTAGAGGAGGTACGTGGAGAATCACAGTATGTTATGTCCTTACAGATAAAATGGTCCTCAAACTCTGGCATGCATTGCACATAGGTCACCTATAACATAAAAATAAGTTGCTGGGGCCTCCCCCAGAGCTTCTGGGTAAAATGAAGGATGAGCATTTCTAGATGAGTTCCTGATGATGGTGGTTCTTGAGGCCACACTGTGAGAACTGCTGATGAAAGTTACTCAGGACACTGGTACCTTAGGAATTTAGAGTTTTATAAACTAACTTCACAAACGACAGCATTGAGGTTCATTTTTAGTAAGCTAGAAATAAACCGTGTTTAGTCTGCTTAGAAAATATCAGAAGAAATAGAATTGAGAAGCTCCACCAGAATACATTTCCTCTTTAATAGAAACGCTGCCTATGACTTGTCTTCACATCCCCTTTATCCAGAAGTAGGCTGGAAATGTCTGCTTCAAGAAGCAGTAGGTAGAGGATGGCTGATGGGTTATGTGTTCATTTCTGTGGTGTACATACTGCCAACATAGCCAATGTCAACCGACCAACAGGAAGTCACTGAGCATGGAGTTCAGAAGAAATGTGCACAGTGAGCTCCCCACAGCCCAGAGGAAACAGTTCCACCTCCCAAGGCCTCCAGTTCCCATGGGTGTTTGTGACTCACCACAGAGTGACTATATCAGTCCATCAGTCACAGGCTAAGTACCACTTCTGTCTAGGCTGTGGTGTCAGGGACGGGTTCCCTTCTCGGCCTCATAAACCAGAGGTTCTGCCTCTCCTGGCCCACTTGATTGTGAAGCACTGAGGTTGATCCCCTGTGCTACTTGGGCATGCCCAGGGTCCATGTGGCAAGTCCTTAGGAAGAACATTCTCTCGTGTGCTGTAAGCCTTCAGTCTCTATCCCTGACAGTTAGGTTGACCCTTTTCAGAACCCAAGATCAGTCTGCCTCAGGGTGCATCTTAAGATTCAATGGCCACAGAAACTCAGATGCGCTAAGCTCATTCCAGACTGGGGGGACAAATTGCTTTGTGAGATGACACACCTTCTTAGACAAGCAAATAGAACACTTGGAAGCTATTTCTTTTCCAGAAAATAAAACAGCAGGGAGACCCAGGCAAGATTTCCCTTGAGCTAGCCCACACAGGCCCCTTATAGCTCAGACCAAGGTCATAGGGAAGGATTTTGAATAGGGATGAAAAGCCAAGGTAGTAGCAGATCATGATCCACATCAACAAAACCTGAGTTCAGCCCTTTGCCTCCTGTGGATCTCCCACTCCCTCCCTGCCTCTCTCTCGCCCTCACTTTGCTTCCTCTGTCCTAACTCTCCTTCATCTTTCCAGATGCAGGACGCTATGGGCTATGAGTTGCCCTGGGTGTATTTTGTCAGTCTGGTCATCTTTGGATCCTTTTTCGTTCTAAATCTGGTTCTCGGTGTGTTGAGCGGGTAAGCTGACCATTTCTGTGTCCTCTTTACAATGCAGCCGAGCAAGGTCCCAGGTTCCACTATTTTCAATGCAGAATCCTCAGAGACAGGACCCTAACAGGCCCAGGAAAACAGGAAAAAAAAAATTTTCCATCCAAGCACAGATTCTGACCATTGGCTGCACAAGCTGTTTGGCCTCTGAGTTGCACCTTGAGGATCCCAGGTCCCACGCTGCTCAGATCAGCGTCAGGGAGCCAGTGGCTGGCGCTTGGCCGTGCTCGGTTGCTGTGTGTGCCTGACTAACTATCATTCCATTCTTCCAGGTCAATGATGCCGTAGGAAGGGACTGGCCCTGGATCTATTTTGTTACACTAATCATCATAGGGTCATTTTTTGTACTTAACTTGGTTCTCGGTGTTCTTAGCGGGTAAGCAGGACCAAGGAAATGGTCTTGATTTTTCCACTTATTTTTATTTATTCTTTCTGCTATTCCTGGCACTACTCTGTTTCTGACTCTGATGAACCGGGATAAAGGGTCACTCAGGAGCCTTGGAGTGAAGGTCTTTGGCCTGGCTGTGAAAAGGGTCAGATGCACAAGGGTTAATTCATTGGTAAGGGTGGTGGACCCTGGAGAAGAGATACTCAGTCTTACCCACCCATCCACACCGAACCCCTCCCAACCTCAGTAGCTGCTCAGGTAGGCAGGATACTTCTCCCTTGTGTCCTAATGACTCAGCCAGGGGAGCAGTGTAGTAAGACCCTTGAGTGGGAAAGTCTTCACAGCAAGAATCTGAAAGATTCACAGTGGCCTTGCAAGTAAGTACTTGGCTCATATCATGAGCCAGTTATGACCTGCACACTAATAATATAGCTTTTAAATAACTTTTTATTCAGTAAATAGGACAGAAAAGGAAGAGTTTGGTTTAAAATATAAGCAGGAATGGAGTATAGCTCTGTGTTAAGAGTACCTGCCTGGCATGTACTGGCCCTATGTTCCATCCCTAGCACTGAAAAAATTAAAACAACACCCCAAAGTGTGTGTGTGTGTGTGTGTGTGTGTGTGTGTGCAAACATACAGACTAAAAGTCTACTTCTCCTCAGTTCTCATTTCAAGGTCAAGCAGTCTTTTACTGAGATTACTTTTATGAACACAAAAGAAACCAAACTGTTTAAAACCAAAGGTTATTTAAGAAAGGATGCGATGGAATTTTGTTTCCCTTTACATCTAGCCAGGGAGCCACAAATGAACCTATCTGTTTTCAACCCTTGCCCAGAGGCTAGAACTGAAAGAATGGCACATGACTGGGGCATCGAGTGATCCAAGGATGGCCAACATCTTACCATAAAGTCCAGGGGTGTTTCCTCAACCACCTATTACTAGTTCACTGCCAGCCACGCCAAAGCCTGACATCTAAATGCTCCTGGTGACCCTCTGGCCCTCTCATGGGGGACTCACCCACTGACTTTGTTACAGAGGGGTGGGGTGGGGAATCTGTTTCCGCCCTGCTTGAACAGGCCAGTTGCTTTCATAGCCTTCTCAGGCACCTAGGGACTTCCTGCTGGGGGTAGTGAAGGGAGCTGGAGGGAGGCTGTACAGAGTGGGACAGTGCTCTACTTCCCGCCACAGCCAGGTGCAATGCAGGGATTGCGTTCACTCTGGGACGGAATGAAGAAAAGAATCTGCTCTCTCCTTACTCCTCCCTTGGCCCTGGATGGCATCTTGTCTTTTGCCAAGGCGAGACCACACAGGAGATGTGGGTGGAAAAGGAGAGTTGAATAATGTAAGCTCCTGGTTAGCTGCCTGGAGGGTGTAGGGATTTCATTTTTATCTTCCAACACAAGAAAATGGCCTGTTGTTTATGTGTGAATCTCCAAAGACAGAATTGGAGAAGAAACCAACCTCATTATGCCCATCCAAGACAGAAACTTGGCTCTTCCATCTCTGCATTTGCTGGATGCCGAGTACGTGTTTCACCTCCATTTTCCCATCTCAAAAAAGTGAAGGTGGCACCAACTCATAGGTGGTTGTAGTTATGGATTGAGGTCTTGATGTAGAATGCTTACCATAGTAACTAGTAGCCAATCAGTGCTCAATAGCAGTGCTATTCTGCAATGATTATTGTTTACCTGGAACTATTCAATAGAATCATCAAAGCTGGAACCACTTTAACCTTCTTTTTAAAGATGAGTGACATGAACCAAGAGATGTCACTTTGCTGGTAATCAGCAGACATGGGCCCAGAACTCCAGCTTAGCGTGGCTCCTTTTTCACATCACTGCCTGCTAGATACACATTGACTGAGCTTGGTTTTTACACAGCCCAGAGCTCTAAGCCTTAAAAAACCTCAAATTCCATTTTCTTCCCCTGGATGTTAGGAACTAAATCTTAGCTCGTAAACTTTCTCAGGGAGTCCAACATGGAGGAAGGACTGGACTGCAAAGGCCCCTTCTTTCCCCTCCCAGAGGAATGACCAGCCTGGAAGGATCAAATCAGAGTAGTCAAAGCTGCTGACACTATAAAAAGGTCATGTTGAAATCATATCTTGGTCACATTTACGTCAAGTGAGGATAAATGTGTAAAATCATCTTACTCTAACTCTGATGCTTAGCTATGTTCAAAACATTCAGTGGACACGGAACAAGAACATAGAGGCTCTTCAACCTCTGAATCTGTAAGCTAGAGTTCACACATTGATCTGTTCTGGAGCCTTCTCATACCTGACCATTCCCAAAGCTACAGCCCATTTCTAGCAGCTCCAGAAACACTGATGGACCCTCTGCCCAGTCAAGCAGGTGTCTGTGGGCAGTTGTCTCCCTTTTCTGGCTTTTTGTCAAGTACTGGTCACTCTGAATGGGTTGCTTCAAACCTGTACAGTGACAAAGCTGGAAACAGGCTCCTGTTGGTTGACCACAAACAGGTGATGCTTTCAAGTTGGCATCTTGATTAGTCAGGACAACAGTGTAATAGTATGCAAAAATATGCAAAATGTAATGCTTATGTAGTAATATGCAAAATAAAACCCATCCAGTCATTCATCAGCTAGACTCAATTAGGCCAAACTTATAGTGCTTTCAAAGAAGTCTTAGAACCCACAAAATGCACTGTCACAGGATAGTATGAACATACTGTGCCTGGGTCTGTGCTCTGTGTGTCACCTATATTAGTTAGTCTTAATGACACCGCCATGAACTAGGTGCTACTCATGTTTCCTTTCTACAGAAGAAAAGAGTGAGGTTTAGAAGAGGTAACTCCATCTATTATAACAGATGAAAGGCAAGGCTCCAGGACTGGGCCAGGGCATCATCAATCCATAGCCTTTCAGCAATTTCCATGGTATACCTGCCACCAATTCATAACAGGAGGAAGTGTGGAGGTAAAGATCAGGAGCGAAAACTGGAAAGGTGATGGCAAAAGGGTGCAGCAGAGGCTGCTGGGTACAGCCAGGGAACAGAAAAAGACCCAGCTGCAAAAACACAACATGGCAGGCTCAGTGGGGCAGGTCGTTCAGTGTGGGGACAGGAGGCTCTGCAGGACTTAATGGGCCATTCGAGATGCAGAGACAGCTCAGCAGCGCTGCAGCTGTGGAATATCCTGTGACTGAGGGAGTGGGTGTAGAACCCTACATCCATCAATTAAGGATAATAATCTTTTCAGCCCAATGAAGTAGCTCATCCTCATAAATTAGGTCCTTTAGTCAGCAAGGAAAGGTTGAAGTGTGCCTGGTGTGTTCTGACTTTCTATATTTTCCATTATAAAGGTAGACATACCAAGATGTTGTTCACCTGGGCCTTTGTATCCTTTATATAGAATCCTTACATATCCAGAACGTCTTATTTCTGTTAAGGTCACACACAGAGTAGGCATGAAAAACTCTGGGATTTTTTTTTCAGAATTCTTCCATGGTATCTATAAATCCTCACATCAACTCTCTACAAGACTCAGACTGGCATTACTACAGATAATTGGATTATAATTGCTTTCCTCTAGAAAGCATTCGCCCATTAGAATGAGAACTTTGAAGTAATAGGTAGAGGTGGAAGTCTGTCCTCTGAAATCTGGGTCTTTTTGGTTTTTGTGGTCACAAATGGGGGCTTCGGAAGTGTGGCATATCTAGGATCTCTTATCTGGATAATTGCCCCGTCCTCTTTCATATCGGGAGACAAGAACGTCTCTTGCCTTAAAAAAAAAAAAAAAAATGGAGAGGGCCTGATGGATGGGAGTTGTACAGCCTGGAAGTATACCTGGAACATGGTGCTACAGTTAAGACAGGACACCCAGCAAGAAGGAGAGGGGAAAGGCCAAGACATGCTATGGGAGGGAGCAGGAGAGGTGTCACACAGAGTGATTCTCATTATTCACTGGTGATGTTCTGCTAAGTCACCACAGACAATCAGTGAATACTAGACCGGTGATCTTATGCAAAGTACAGGGCTAGATTCCTGTTAATGAGTGTCTGTCACATTTGGCAACCAATTAAAACAGAGCCTTATGTGTGTTCCATTTAAACATACCTTATTTAGTAACTATCACTGATTTGTTACCATTAGACTCATATGGTCATCAGTACTGTAACTCGTGCCTGAACGAACTTGTCTAACACACATTTTCTCTGTACCACACATCACAGCCCTCTCGTTCTAAGAAACAATTAGACCATTCTTCAGAGCTACGCTTGGGGCCATTTTAAACTTGAAATCACCAATAAACAGGACAAACATGCAAAAGACATGACACTAAATAGATTGCCCTTACTTTTAAAAAGCATTGCTTAGGCTACAAGAACTGAATCAAGAAGGAGAGCATCCACCTGTTTGACCTTCGGCAGGGAGCATGTAAAGTGCTTTTCACTTTTCGCCAATATGTGCACGTCCACAAGTGTCTGTGGCCGTGCCATGAAGATTGATTTGGAGGTTACAAGCAAATTTTAGCAAACTCACAAATAACAAAATTATTATCTAATCTGTATTGATTTTCCCAGAGCCTAACACCCCATGGTGAATATTGATTGATCGGTCACTTCCTAGTACATGCTTTACATGACTGAACACCAGCCATCCCTCCCTCCATATGTTATGTTGGCCATTGCTACTGACAGATGTACTCCTGCCTTGTGACAAATGCTGCAGTGGTGACTGATTGTCTCACTGGCTGCCCTGGGCTGGGGACAGCCTTTCAGGCTGAGGCTTCATGTCTTCATTATTAGCTCAGTCTCCACAGCAGGCACATGGCTGGCATCCAGGCAAGGAAAGAGAGCCAGGAACTGTTACCCAGTGCATCAGCACCGCATGTGGTCTGGTAGTCCATGTGGCCATAGGCCACCCCCATGGAACCAACAGAGCCTGATGCTGCCTTCCTGCCCAGGCACCTTCTTCAGCCCCCCTCCCACAGCATGTCCTTCCTCTCCAGGACAAAAATGAAATGTGTGAAATCCCCTTAGGAACATGTAGACACTTCTTTTTAGTTTGCTCTCTATGTATGTTTCTTTAGGTCATCACAGGTCCAAGGGCATAGATAGTGAACTTTCACTCTATGAACAGATGCTGTAGAACAGGGGTGAACACTTCCTGACACCAGCTGAATCTCAATTCTATTTTTCTCAAACTCCATAAAGAAGGATGGGTAGGTGTTTTATAACTAAAACTTGAACTCTCTGCAAAATCATCCAAAAAAGCTAAAGGAAACTCTTAGCAACTCTGTCCCTTTGAAACCCACTCAAACCCACTCCAGGGGCAAGAGATGAAAAACCAAGTGGGTGTGGGCAGAACGATTGCCAGGAGAGGGTCCTAGAAGTGCAATTTTTGGAGTTTATTGGCACAGGGAGGGAAGTACTCTCTGAATTTTCTGTCTCTAGAGAGTGAGGTCAAGGCCACGGGAGGCTTAATCATACATAAAGTAAGAAGAGTCAAGGAAAGGAGGGGTTGGCGTCTTTCCATGCCCACTCCAACACAAAAGCAGGGCAGAATCAAAGCCAAACCAGGCTCGCACCTTCACTGTCATCTGTCAATCTAGTCCCTCTTTCCTGGCCTAAAGCTCTCTGGGAAGGAAATAAAAGTACCCATCAGTTGGCAGGAAGCCTAAGAAAGAGCAAGTTCAATACAATTATAATTGGATTCAATCAAATTTAAGAAGAAAATTCAATCCAAACCAGAGCATCATTAAGGAGGCAGTTGATAAGAACTCATTAGCTTGAGAGCCCCCAGTTCTCCCAATTAAAACATTCCCTAGGCTCATCCTGGACCCCAACCCCATTTCACCATGAAAAGAGTAAGTGATAAAACCTGAGCTCTGCCAAGCATCACAGGCAAAATGCAGACGTTAGGCAGGTGGTATATGACAATACAGCCACTCATATGTACAATGAGCTTAACTGGCCCCTAAGGCTTGTTGGTGACATCCTTCCCTCCGGGTATATTTCCTCTGGAGCACTTGGCTTGTGCATGAAGCTCTGTTGAGTTGATTTCCATAGTTTGGTGTCCTGAACCAGGCTTTTACTGAGCAAAGAAACAAGAATCATGGCCCAGGCATAAGTTAAGACACCAGAGAATTCACATGAGCACACATCCCCACTTACCCACCCCACCCGCATTTCCACTACCAAGGTCCCCATTTCCCATGGATTGGTAAAGAAACCAACCAAACCCTCCTGTCCACCCAGTGGGGAAGAAGAGGCTCAGACCTGCTGTGGTGGCTGAGAACTTGCTTTGTCGGTTGCTGTCTATACTGCTAGCCCTGCCCTTGCTTAAAGTGACTTGAAAGTCACAGAGTATTCGAATAGGACCAACTGTCAGAACTTTCTCAGTTGGCCCTTTTTCCAGCAAACCTAGGCCAGCTACAATATCTGCTCGCTATTGACTTAAACTGCATCACTAACCTTGATACCATCTTCATTTTACATATTTTTCTATCCTGAGTGGACTGGTCTAACCCAAAGGACGGCTTCTAGGGCATTCATTTTCTTGTGTTTGGAGTCCTTACTGGTGTTTATGTGGGCAGGAACCATCTCTGGGATGAACTCCCTCCAGGCATGCTGAGAACCATAGAGAGACTCTAGCCTTGAGAACAGGGATTGAGGGAAAGCTCCTGGGCCCCCAACCAATGGGGTACTGGCATGCTTTGTGGGGAAAAGCCCTGATCAATAGCTTTAGCCGGTTTCTGTGGTCTACCAAGAAGACATTACTCAAGCCAGAGTTGGGAAGAGAAGGCAGTATTGGCTTTGAGGACCCAGTGCCAGTAGGTGCGCTCAGCAGACACTGGGTCCTAATATTCTGTGTCACCTGAAGATGCTTTGTGATTTTTAAAATCGTCATCCAAGCCTGGGTGATATGTTTCTTTGCTGTCAGAGGGGTTTATAGTTACTGTTTGGAAGGGGTTTCTAGGTCTTTGGAGAACAGTCATTATTAACAGGCAAAACCTGTTACCGTGACCTAGATAAAAGGAAAGAAACAGCCCCCATCCCCTTAGATTTCCCTGGCCTGTGTCAACAGTGTGCTGCTCTCAGTGCTCCTCTATCTTGTGGGAGTGAAAACAGAACTGGGTGATGGAGATAGCTGTCTATAGAAAGAGGGGCATTCGGGCAGGGTTCTCAGCGCAAAGCAGTTAATACCGCCTTGTCTCCCCTTGTCTCCGTCTCTCCTTCTGGATGACCCTTCTGTGTACTGTCCTGCCCTGCCCACTCCTCTCTCTCACCAGAGAGTTTTCCAAAGAGAGGGAGAAGGCCAAGGCTCGGGGAGATTTCCAGAAGCTTCGAGAGAAGCAGCAGCTAGAAGAAGATCTCAAAGGCTACCTGGACTGGATCACCCAGGCAGAAGACATTGACCCTGAGAACGAGGATGAGGGCATGGATGAAGAAAAGCCCCGCAACAGTGAGCAGCTGTCTTCTGTCTTTGGCTGGGGCCTGGGAGATGGGGGATAGTAGCGGGAAATATCTAGCACTGACCTTTTATTGTAGCCCACAGCTGGTGTTACTGGAGTAACCCTTGTCTCCGTGATTGGTGTCGTTTGCTACTCCTAGGAATTCATCACAGATGGAAAATAATTGCTCCTAATCTGGAAAACCTAATAATCTATTTAGAACCTTTGACTGAAACCACAGTTGAGTTTGTGCTAAGATGAAGGCATGCTTCTCTGGAGGACTCTGTCTCTTTAGGCAGGGGCAGGCCTCCTGCTCCTGTTTCTAAGGAGAAGCTTTCACCAGCCAGCTGCTTAGAAAGTTGTGTGCCTGGGGCAGGATTCTCTCTCTCTCCCTTAGCAGAAGCCTTCTAGTACCCCTGAGATTTCTCTAAAGGAAAGGGGTCAAAGTTTCTTCTTGCATATGTAATATTCAAGAAACTGAGGAAGTGCTTCTGGGAAGATTGGAGGAAGCCCAGAGGAATTCCACATAGTATTGAGCCAAATCTCTTCCTCTGGGCTTTCTCATGGCAGATTGCTGGATAGACTACAGCGGAGACAGAAATTAGAACAATAGCTGACTTGTAAGTGTTTAAGATAATCTTGGAAATTCAGATTCAAATCCAGTGAGCCCAGAGGTTCTCAAAGTGGAGTCCCTGGACCAACACTGGCAGTTGTACCTATGAGCTTAGTAGAGGTGCAAACTCTAAGGCTCCTGCCCAAACCCACTGATTCAGTAGCCCTATCTTGGGGCCCAGAAATCTGAGTCAACAGCTCCTGCACAGTCAGTCTGATAACCTTCGGATTCACTCTAACTGCCGTGTTTCCTGTGACCTTGATCTTCATGGATCTAACCACACCCTTCTTCCCCTTCTGTGCTCAGTATTTCTCTTTCATTTTATATGTTTAGCTAGTTGCGTTTCTGTCCTCTCAAGCAGCATCACTAAAAAACAAATTCCTAAGCACCGGGCATCAGAGCATGCAGGTGAGAGAGGCAAGTCAGACTGTCTCGGCAGACAAGGACTCAAGAAGAGCCAGCGTAAGAACAGGTAGAAGAGGAAGACAGCCAAAACTGCTAGCAGAAGCTCTGCTCCCTTGTTCCAAAGATGGGTTTAATAAATCTCTTCCTGATAACTCTGCTCAAGGTGCAAATACAAAATTAAAACACATAACAACAAGGGATTGGTAACAACATAATTTAATAACCCAAGGAAGCCTTCACGCTTCACTAAGTAGTTTTGCAAGCTGGAAGAGGACGCCTTTGATGGATTGTAACAATGAACAATGGTGCCGTTGAGGGTTTTTCTGGAGAAATGCATGACAGCTTTTATTACAGTTTTGATGGGACTGCAGAGCAGTTGATTAGTCTGTGGCGTTGAGTGGTATGGAAAAAAAAAGTCAATTGGGCTGTGAGTCACAGTCAAGCTTACCTCCAAAATAGAGGAGTCGATGTCTTGGCTCTCATTCTGCCCTCATTCAGGATTAATAGTGGTAAGCAATTTTTTAGCATGTGTTATTTAGAAATGGGCCATACCCACTACTTGCTTAACAAGTCGGTTGCGGTCCACAGAGACACATAATTAGGTTGTTCTCTGCCTAAAGCAAGTGCTTCCAAAAGAAGCATGCTGCTTCTCTATCTTGACCATTAAACAAGTAAATTCCAAGGAGAATTCCCAGCATGGAGCATGCCTTGCTGCTTAAGCAGATTGCACAGGCAGACTCATCCAGGTGACAGTCTCTGCCAAGATTGTCTAGAGCCCAAAGATTCCAGAGACCTCTTGTACAGCTTCTTCATGGCTGGAGGAGCATTTGTGCTCTGCTTCTCATCCTTGGCCAGCCTTGTCCTAGGAAGATCAGAACGGGAGTATTCTGTCTCCTGCATGAATGGAAATGTTAGAGGGGCAGTGCCAGGAGACTGGGGCAGGGAAACAAAGATCTAAAGAAGCCAGTGTAGAAAGTAAGTAGACACCTATGATAAAAGGAATGGAGAATAGAGGTGGGAAGAGTCCATTTGACTGTGCTTGTTGGAGAAGCCCCAGTAAAAGTGGAGTTGATGTGATTTAATTGTTGAGAAATTTGAGACTTGCAGAAAAGGCTTGGAAACTACATTCTTCAAGACTTCATGATTTGCCCTTTGAAAGAAATAGAAGGGGAGAAATGCTTGTGTTTAATTAGGGTCAATTCAGTTTTTGAAATGTCTGAAAAATAACCGGGTAAGACTTTCCCAACTCTTTCCAGCTCAAAAATGAAGTAGTCTGTGTGTGCTCACACGTGTGTACATTACTCTGTATGTGACTACATACACGTGCTCTTACATGTAGAGGCCAACTTCAGGTATCACTCCAGAGGACCTCTCCTTGTTTTTGAGATAGGGTTTTTCACTGGGACCTGGGAGTGGCTGATCTGGCTAGGATGGTTAGCCAGTAATCTGCCTGTTTCTACCTCCCCATCAGTGGAACTTCAAGTGCTTGCCACTATGCCTGACATTTTGCCTGGGTGCTGGGAATGAAACTCAGGTCCTCATGCTTGTGTGGTAAGCATTTCACCAACTAAGCTATCTCCTCATCCCATGAAGTAGAGAGAAGAGGTATGATCACTTCATCGTGTTTCTGGTGACTCTGCTTCTGTCCCATCAAGCATCCCTGTCAGCCCAGATTACATGCCACTAGTGCGAGGCACTGGGAGGCAGAGCTGGCTGCACTGAGGGAATAACTCGGAAATATGTCATTGCACAGTAGCTGAGCGTGCCTACATACAGCCCAGTCAATCAGCTTTCCTAAGAAAAGATATAAACCCACTGAGGAAGTGAAAGATAACAGAGAAAGCATTTACTTGGGAGGCCTTCTTGTAAGTGATTACAGAAAATGAAGTAAACTATGTAGTAACAGTAAACTGTACTTAAACGTAGATTCCAGTTCATCTTTCCACTATCCATCCATCCATCCATCTATGAATTAAAGGTCTACTCCCTGCTAGGCACTGTTGTTCACACGAATGATATAACAATGAACAAGGTAGTTAAAACTCCCTGCCTTTGTAGAACTTCTGAGAGAGAGAGAGAGAGAGAGAGAGAGAGAGAGAATAAATAGTATGTCCAAGTGATAAGCATTGACAGGTTGTGGCATTAGATGGGATGCTCATTGTCTACTGAAAACATAACATCTGAATAAAGTTTTGAAGGTTTAAGAAAAGTAAGCACACAGGTATTTGGGAGAAGATCATCCCAGGCAGAAGGAAGGACCCCGCAAAGGTCAGGAACATGGCTGGTGGATCTGAGAGAGGAGGCTAATACTGTGGGACTCAGGGTGGAGTTGAGGCAGAAAGTGGTGAGAAAGGATGTCCGAGGGAAGCTGGGGGAGGACCATGCACTTTCAAAGCAGGATAACTTGAATGTAAGCCAAGCAGCCACTGGAGGTTTTGAGAAAAGAAGTGACACTATCTGATGTGCATTTAACAGGATCCTGTGACCACTGTGTACAAGGTGGAACCTCTGGCCTGAGCAAGAGCCAGCTGAGAGGGTATTCCTTGGGAGATGCTGGTACTTTATCTTGGCAACAACAGAGGCAATTCAGGATGATACCGTTTGCTGAAAGATAAAATATGGGATATGAGAAAGATAAGTCAGTGTGATATGATATTCCAAGTCAGTGTGACAATGGACCTGCCACTTACTAACATAGGAAAACAGAGCCAGATAGGTGTCAGGACAGGAACATGAAGAAACTCAGACCTTTAAGGTTAAAATGACTATGAGATGTGCAAAAGGAGATGTTGACTCGGAATAACTAAGTTCAGGGGAAATCTTCGAGACTGAGTCATAATTTGGGGGGGGTCAGCAACATATAGAGGAAGTTGAAATCTATTTGTTAGACTGACATCAATAGCGGGGCAAGAGTGGAGAGAGATGAGATGAAGCCAAGAGCTGAGACCAGGGTTTGGTTGGAAAGTGATGATAAAAAAGAACCAGCAAGAAAGATTTGAATAGTGTGACCAGAGAACTAGCAGGGAAATCAGAGGAAGGGTGTCAGTCTGCTGACAGGCCAAATAAATGAGGGCTGCAAACACAGCTGGACTTAGAACACAGGGCCTTGATGAGAGCTGTTTGGGGGCATGCTGGATAACTTAAGCTGTCAACTTGACACACGTGATTAGAGGGAACCTCAATTGAGGAGTTGTCTCCATTGGTCTGGCCTGTGGCCATGTCTGTGATGCATATTTTGATTGTTGAGGGAAACGGGAGGGCCCAGCCCACTGTGGGCAGTGCCATCCATGGGCAGGAGGTCATGTATTGTATAAGAAAGCAGGCTAAGCAAGACCCAAGTAGTAAGCCAGTAGCAAGCCAGTAAGCAGCTGTCCTCCATGGGTCTGTGCTCCAAGTTCCTATCCTGAGTTCCTGGCTTGTCTCCCTTTGATGGACTGTGAGCTGTAAGTCAAATAAACCCTTTCTTCCCCAAGTTGTTTTCGGTCAGTGTTTTTTTATCATAGCAACAGAAAGTAACTAAGACAGGGGGCATTATGAACTGAAGCCTGTTGGCAAATCACTCTCATTCTTCAGTCTCTTGAGTCCTTAGTCTTCCTAGAATGGCCCTAGGACTTCTTACAAACTTCCTCCTGTACATCTGGCATGACTTCACTACCAGTAGCTGGAACTCTATCCGTCATTGTGTTGCCATCTACAGCCATGTCAGTACCAGGCCTTGCCACAGCAACTGCTTATAGACAAAAGGAGGACATGATACTTAAGAGCCATCCCAAGATCACATAGGAGAAGAGAGGGGCATGTGCATGCTGGTGTCCGTTTGCAGTTTCCATGTGAGACAGCTGTAGGGCTCTTGGTCTTTAAGTTCCTCTTCCATCTGGTAAAGATTAAGGCAATGAGTTCTCACCATCCCACTGACTACTTCTGTGTTTCCCGCAGGCACCAGTGAGCATCCCTTTTGAAGCCATTGATTTCACATGTTGCAGTTGTATCAGG